AAAAAAAAAAAAAAAAAAAAAAAAAAAAAAAAAAAAATTTTAAAAATGAGGAAAAAACAAAAAAAAAAAAAAATTGGAGGGTTGGGGGGAAAAAAAAAAAAAAAAAAAAAAAAGGTCATAAGAAAAATGACAACTAGTCAAGACCAAGACCTGCAGCCAGGAAAAGAGCAAACTGGTTTTTGGTCAAACGACTTTCTGTTCCATCTCTACTGTTTGCATGCTAAATCTAACCCAAGCAAGGATTCATAGCATGTAGCTGGAAGTAAGCATTTGCTGAGCAGAAGACGACCAAGTGCAAATTATGTTGACACAAGACAACTTGAACAACTTATCAAAACAGGCTACATTCATTCATTATGCTGACATTTCGATAAGGCAAAGAAATATGAGGCTGTCCCGTTTAAAAAGGCACTGGGAGCAACATTAGCCATAAACTCAGTTGTATCCCTTTTATCACCTAGTTCACTCCTCTTAACTGTACAGCAGCCAAACCACAATTTGGATTTGCACTAGTTATAAAAAATTCCTATAGAAATTCAATTTTCCAAACTGAATCTAAACAGACAGCCTAATGCCAAATGTTGTAGTTTGGGTCTTAGGTAAGGGAAGGAAGGTGCCCAAAAACCGGACTAATGAACCCCTAACTGGTATTCATTAAAAACAACCAGAAGTGAATTACCCACTTTTATCAAAATAGGGTTTCATGAGTCCTTTTTTTCCTGGGCCCAGAGAGGTGGGACACAGCACAACTAACTCCAAGCCCTACTTCCTGGGAATCTATAGCACCATCACAGCTTTATGCAGCCACCTCTGCAGCAGGGGTGGCCTCAGCCTCTGGGGCTGCAGAGCCAGTCTCTGCTTTAGCAGCAGGAGCAGGAAGGACTTCATCTACTACTGCCATACCGGCACTCTCTTCTGCAGGGGCTTCTGCTGGCATCTCCTCTGTGGCAGCGACCTCCTTGGTGACGGGAGCAGCCTCTACCGCTGCAGGTGGAGCAGCAGCTTCTTCTGTTGCTGCTGGCTCTGAAACAACCACCGCAGCCGCTTCTTCAGACATGGCCTCGGCTACTGGTTCTGCAGGAGCAGGAACAGACTCGGCGACGACCTCGGCCACAACCTCGGGGGCCGGCACTGCCTCCTCTACTGGGGCGGGTTCAGCTGCAGGAGTTGCTACTTCTGGTGCTGCAGAGATAAATAACAGCAACCTCATACAAACTCCTCATAAAAAGATTGAGATTTTAAGAAGTTGACTCCTGTCAACAGGTAACATATGGTTGAAGCATTTAGGTCTAATAAAAAAGGTGAAACATAATGTTAGTTAAATGAAGGATATTCCTTAATCCAAACATGTCATCCTCTGAACAGAAATACAACTGCTGAACTCACTAAAGATGTTGGTCTCAATAACTGCAGGACATTACATTTTGGTTTATACAGTTCCTTAAAAGAGTAGAGGTGGAAACAGATGCTTTAAATTGAACCGCCGGCTTTTACAGCAACAATACTGACCAGTTCATCATTAACGAAACACAACCTACAGACATAACACGCATCATATAAAGGGCACAACGCTATGAAAGAGTAGTTTGTTTCAGTTAGTCAGCCAATAACTCAGAGCTTATATTCTTTATACATCTTTCAGTTAGTATAACCAACTGTTTTAGGACAAATTATTTAGATAGTGAAACAAGAATCTGATAAAACCTCAAGTGCACATACTAAATGTCACTAGCTTTAGTAGCAATGCATGTGACATTACCAATAACCGCTTCTTCACAACTATTAGGTTCAACACAAACATGCTGTGATGAATTAAGAAAGTTCTGCCCCAACAGGAAAAATTTGTCTCAAAAGCAGTCAAACAAATCAAACCCCCCCACCTGACTGCACTGTAATTATACTCAGTGATGTGTACTCAGATTAAATGCGTCAGGACAATATGATCCTCGATCACAATCAGTTTAATCACCATGTGCATGAAGACCATGTGACTTCGTTTCCAGGACATTTTTGCTTGGTTACATAATGTGATCACTGGCCAGTTTAAAGCTAGAGCAGTTCACTCTGCAGCGCTGTAGGGAGCAGAGCTTTATACTCCTGCGACTAAAAACACTTCCAGGCTGCATGTACACAACTGAACCAGATGCAGACACTGCTTATCCCCATTACAGGCTAGTTAGCTGCTCTGGGCACGGAGTCATGATCTCTCATACTGGCTGAATAGACCAATGATTTGCAGACAGAAATCTAAACAGACAGGCAAGATAAAGCTATTGAGAGTGATCATTCTACCGTGTTGATATTTGGGTGGTGCAGCCAGAACCAGCTAGGAAATGCAGCAAGAGTCTGATTTTGTTTTGCCATTTATAATAATGGTCCGGCTAATGTACTTTGTGTTTAGTGCCAATTATCAAACGTTAGCACTCCAACATACTAAACATAGCTGCTTAACATCAGAAAGATTGCGTCGTCCTTGTGAGCATGCGGAGGTTAACAATTAGCTCACAAAACTCTGCAGCATGGTTTTTCTATAAATGTGTAAGTGTATAATCAATGACTTTGCCGTCGACGTGACCGTATCACATTATAATTATATAATTTACAAGAAATGTGACTTTGTTCTTTCTGTAAATAATAGTATTATTTGGAGATGTAACCTCAGGAGTTTGAGTGCCTGTTTCGTGAGTGCGTGTCAGCAGCTGACCCTTTGCTGTGGAGGCCGTGTTGGCGAGTTTGTCCTCACCATCACCGCCGACTTTCTTGTAGGCCTGAGCGAAAGAGAACAGTTATGTACTTACTACATTCCAGCACACAAATGATAATAGTACAAAAATGACAGCATTACAAAATGCCAGTTTACACAGATATTTTTTCTTATATGAACACAGCTGATATATACTTGTATTTGCCAAGAGTCCGACAGCTATTGTCTGGACTCGTTTCTGTTTGTAAAAGGCACAAAGAGCCTTCTATGTCCATTTAGTATCCGACTGTGGGGATGTCTGCTACACACAGTCCAGTCTGTCTGTCTGTACAGCATTGCAAGTTTAAGTTTAATGTTTTGACAATATTACATTCCTTGAGAATTACTTTCTCACTTTTTAATGTTGTTTACTGTGTGGAATAGGGAGAGGACAAGGAGATTACTCCTTTAAAGCTCTCAAGTAATATTCCAACCAACATCTTTAAAGTTACACTCGACACCGATACTGAACGACAGATTTTGAGCAGAAGACCTTTTTAAGAAATGCCATCAGAAGGGCAAAAAGGTAACAATTATAGACCGTATATAAGAAGTGGACGTCGTAACCCTGACATCACCCATTGGTTTGTGGACTGCCATTTTGAAGCTTAGAGCATTTTGGTCGTCACCATCTTTGTTTTTGACCATTGCCATCTTGTTTTTTGCAACAAGTAGTGACAGAAGATGGTGGCACCAAGTATAACTGAATGGAACATTTCAGTTGCCTAAAATATCGCAATTAACTTCCAGGAATTGAAAATACAGTTTGAAAGAGTTTTAAGACAAACAGACAACAGTGTGGTAGTGACCCGTTAATCATACCCTGCTTTACTGTCCATTTTACTATAAATGCAGTTTTGAAGAAAACTTTACACTAGAAACTGAGACCATAAAGTCATGTACAGAGGTAATGAATCAAGTGAGAAGTCGGGTAATTTACTCAGACTACATTAGACTTTTTGCAACCAGAGGATGTCCCTTTTCAGACCCGGATGTTGACGCCTGGTCATAATGCAGACTTGCAGGTCAGATGAACCTGGAATGGAGCAACAGATACTCACATAGATGACTGCAGCAGTGAGGCCCCCTCCACACAGAACAAAGTACGCCATGTTGGATGAGCCACCAGGGACCCCAAAGGCCATGTGTCGCACTAGATAGATAATGAAGAACAACAACTGTAATTTAGGACTATAGTGACCTTTATTCAACCAGTGATTGGCCAAAGCATTTCATTCAGAAAATTCCCAGACCTTAGACTCTGCACAAGACTATTGCATTCTGGTAGTGTCAACATGTCTCCAGCCTTTAATCCAGTTACACAAGAGAGCCCTGGTCAGTTGTAGCAGAGGAGATGGAAAGATTTAAGAGCAGCCAAGCTAAACACCAACTTGTTCCTTAAATTAAATCCCCAACACACAAACTAAATGTACCTAGTGAGCTTGAATTCATATGAATTAGTCCCTCAACACATGTCAGGAGCTACTGAGGATCTGCCAAATGCTTCCCAATTGGTTATTTTTGTGGTGGCCAATTGTGGCAGGCTGCAGCCGTGTGAAAAGATTTGCTGGTGTTTAAAGGATTGCCAGTGGTGCATGCAGAGGAGGTCGTAAATAAACCAGCGTGCGTCCCAAACAGCCTAATCTCTTCCTACCTAGATAGCCGTCTCTCCCACGCCACAGAGTGTACATGCACAGTTACAGTACATAAGATATCTTTAGCATGAGCCACTCCCTCTCTATGTGCACATGCATGTGGTTTACTCAGCAATCCGAATAGGCAAACTGAAGTTGTGAAAGAACAGAATGTAAAGCCCACCCCGCCCCCTTTTGTCCTTCACATGTTTCACGCGTGTTCAGGCAAATCATGACTCACCCTTTGAGTTTTCCACTGACAACTTGCCCCCAACTATAAAAGCAAGGAATCTCTGTACCAGCGCCACAAAATATCACTGATTAGCACGTTTTATCTTGTTTATTTGTTCTGTGCAAAAAACAAAGTCTAAAAGTTACACATTGTGGTTTTATTGCTTGGTCCCGAAGCAGTAACTGATGTAACAAATAAAGACATGTTAGTTATTGAGCTTTAAAAAGGTGCTCCTGGGCAGATTTTGATACCGTTGAACCCCCGTTTCCAGTCTTTATGTTAAACTATGCTAAACTAACTGCTAAAACTATGAAAACACTTTGTCCGGTTGTGGATGCAGAGCCACGGTAGCAGTGAGTCCTCCCTCATTCGTCCTCTTAATACCCATGACACAGCAGCACCATGCAGGCACAAGGCCAAGTACAGGTTATTTATACAGGTAATCAGTTAATCCCTGCAGTGAGGTTCAAGCCTGTAAAAATGGACACGCATGTCAGGCAACAGACAAAATGGCTGCTATAACATGTATATGTTGGTGCTCTCCTGCTGCCTCTGTCAGCAGACATGTGCTCAGTACATATGTTGACCTGACCAGCAGGTCAGGACTGGTGTATACCAGTCACACCAGCAGTTTTCTCAGAATACAGAAAAAGCTTCATCAAGACCAATGCTTGCAGGTATAATTAATTTTGTCTGCTTCGATCAGAGCTTGAGTTTTTTTTGTGTTTTGAAACAGGAAATCAAAGCAACAGTTTGACCTCAGGCAGAATTCCACAAGCTCAGATTCCAAGTCAAGGATGATCAGGGGAGAGAAGGACATTTGAAAAGAGAAAGCCTCCTGAAAGGCCAAGTGATCAAATCCACTCACCTTATATTTAAATGCTACAAAGTGAGTTTTAAAATACACAGCTTTTTTTCCAGGTGTAACAGAAGAGTTATTGGCTATAAGTTTTAGACATTATGTAAATGCATTTTTCATATAGGCTTCTTAGGAGTGCTAACACTTATGAGCTAGACCACATTGAGAGCAGCTATGCCCGACATAAGACGTCCTAGGACAACTTGTAACCATGTCATGACGAAGAATCACTCGTTAAATCATTTTTTCTTTGCAAATACTGCAAATGATCGAGGCTTGAATACGCATTAAAAAAAAAACAAGCGCACTTGATGCAATTCATAAAACCTTTAAATGAAAAAGTGTTTGTGTCGTGTGTGAGTGATGCGCCCTTTCATAATGTGCAAGAACGGTGTGTTCCCAAAGCCGGACACGCCTCCTTCTGCTCTGCACAATGGAAACCTTGTGAAAATGAAGCGTTTTAGGGCACTTTCACACACTTTTCGCATGAAAAGTGCGTGAAAGCAACATTTAAAAGGAATCAATGCTTCAGAAATTAACTTTAAAAAAAAAAAAAAAAAATGTGTAGGAGTAAGCACGGTTTAGACAGTTATACAATCTGAGAGACAAGTCATTAAATAAAACGATTAATTTAGTCTAGTTTTAATCTAGTCGAGCCGCTAAACGCACGCGAGAGCGACCTTTAACTCTACTTTCATCAATTCGACGGCAAATCGCGTGAACTCCCCTCAGAAGTCACTAACTGACAACCTTTTTAAGGCTACTCACCATTTCTGGACGTTGGTTCGAAAGCCCTCCATGCCAGCGGCCCGACTCTTTGCAATGCCCGTCTGCAGAACATCTTCACTCGGTAGACAACAGCAGGTGAATGAGTGCGTGTGCGTGTGTTTCCAGCTGGTTTTAAAGACGATCGAGGAGGAGCACTCAGCCGCTGTCCAATGCTGATTGCAGAAAGTACAACCCCTTTCAAGAAAGATTAGTACACGAGCGCGCTCCCTGCAGGCGAACTGGCAGAACAACGGTCGTGTTTTTTTATTCTTAAGTAGTCAACGTTGTAAGGATCTAGATTTATAGTAACCGTGTAAATATAACATCTAGTTCTAGTTTTCTGGGGTAGGTTTTGCAGTTTATAATATGTGGTGTGCTGCATACTGAGATGAAATCTTGTTGACTGTGCTGTGGAGGATCAGACATCCCTCATGCTGGTTTCAAGTGGATTACAGTCCCATGTGGTGTTGTGGAAAGATACAGTGAACTGCGGTTGCATAATGCACACTGTCCCAGAGCTATTGTGGGCCTGCGCCATGCATGGCTCTGATTGGCAGAGACAAAATAATAAAATAAGTAAGTATTATACGTGTTGTATTCTCTTATACTAACATTGGATGTTTGCACCCAGCAATGTGTCAACACCAGATGTTTTCAGACAGTAAAAGTGCACTTGTACTATTTAAATATATATTCAATATACATATTTAAAAGATCTAAAGACTTAAAGGACCAGTGTGTAGGATATAGTAGCAGCTCGACATGAGGTTGCAGATTGCACCTCACCTCTAAGCAGTGGTGGGCCTAAACAGAATCACAAAGTTATAGCTATTTTATAATTTAATAATTTTTCTTAAATACACTACATGTATTATAATTTATAAAAATATTTTTCCCATTATCTTATTTTCTCATTGCACAGCTACTGTCTTCCTCAGTTGCTCTGCTTCCAGTGCAGCTTGTTTTAAGTAGAGCTTTTATCCAATCAGATTTCACCTCTGTGTCTCTAGGTAAGAAGAGAGGCCCGAGGCCTGCAGACTCACAAGTGAATCCCTTTGCAGTTTAAGTGACTGGGGATGATATTGTTGATTGTCATAGTGTTTAACCAATCAGATCTTTAGTTTGACATGTTGGGCGTATTCTTTGATGTGCCAGGGCCTTCTAGCTAGCCTAGCCATACGTGATTGGTCAGTGGGCTAGCCTGACATGTTGGGCGGTGACAATCCCAATATCTGCTGCCTCTGTTGAGCAGACATGTTCAGCCCTCAAATGCATTAAAACTTATTCAAGAAATACAACTGGGGAGGCTCGACTGTCTTCACTGGCGGCCATGAATCGAGAAGGACTTCTTACTGGAACTAAAATGCACGGATGTACTTAACAACTGTGGGATTAAACTCTTTACTAACAAAGAAAGGAGGATGGACTTTGTCTTTAAATAGTGAACAGCAGCTCTGGTAAGTTAAATGCGTTTGTTTTTACATCTGCAGTAGCTTTAATATGCTTGTTTACAGTGGCGGGCCGTGCATTTTATACCTGGGCCTTCTGAGCTGTCCTCCTACACTTGAGCCAGCTCCTAATAATCTCATTATGATGCGCAAGCTACGGTTATTTGTTCCTAGGGGTGTAACACTACACGTATTCGTATTAAACCGTTCGGTACGAGGCTTACTAACCGAAGTTAGCTTTCTGTTTGACAAAAGTCACGCTGGCCCACTGACCAATCACGGCGCACATTAATGCTGACGTACTTAGGAGGCTACCTCGATACCACTGGCACGTCAAAGAACATGTCACTAAACTAAAGATCTGATTGGTTGAAGACTATGACAATCAACAATATCGTCCCCATTTACTTAAACTGCAAAGGCTCTCTAGCGGGCATTGGGCCTCTCCTTACATGGAGAAATAGGGGCTGAATCTGATTGGATAAAAGCTCTACTTAAAACAAGCTGTGCTGGAAGCAGTGCTGCAGGCTGCAGACAGGAGCTGTGCAATGAGAAAATAAGCTAATGGGAAAAAAATTACAATACATGTAGTGTATTTGTGAAAAATTCTTAAATTATAAAATAGCTATAATTTGTGATTCTGTTTAGGCCAACAGAGAAGGCTTTGCTGGCCCTGACAGCCCACCACTGCTTGTTTAAATATTATTATTTGTACAACATGTTTTTATGAAGATGGATTTTTGTTTGGTTTAATATGTGATAAGAACTATTGTTACTGCGGTCAAGTCAGCAGACACTCAGATCTCCGTGGTCAACTCAGCAGACAAATGTTAGTGCACCTATATGCTGAAATTCACAGTAAACGCATTCAAACGGCACAGATCGGGAGCGAGCGAAGGACTTTGCAAAGTTAGCGGAAAGATTAACGTCAGATAACATCCGGTTTCTTCAGACGAACATCCGGTTTTCAGAATAAGATGCCAACCAAGTATACATATTGCATAATGGAAATGAGATGTAATGAATTATATTCACATTAAGTATAAAATATGCTACCTGCATCTCGTGAGTTAAATACACCTAAATTGTGCGTAAAGTGTCTTTATTCTTTGATTTGAGGGTTGCTGGAAATTAATAATACCTGACTGACAGTCAATTAAGATATTTTACTAAGCAAAAACTCTGAACTCAATGTGCAAATGGCACATTTTTTAAATATTTAAGGTGCTACAAAAATATATTTCTCAATAATTCCATACAATGAATCATGTATATGTAATCAAGGCATCGGTGACTCCACCCATACAGAACATCAGACATTTTTACTGTACCAATTAAGAGATATTTCAAAGTAAAGTTCATACATTTGTACCAAGAAAATATCTAATAACTGAATATTTAAAGTGTTCTAAAAACTATTTTCTCAATAATTCCAAACAATGAATCATGTATATGTGTTAAGGACATTGTTGACTCCACCCATACTGAAAATCAGACATTTTTACAGTACCAATTAGGAAATATTTCAAAGTAAAAGTCATACATTTCTACCGACAAAATATGTAATAAATTAATATTTGAAGTGTAATAAAAAGTATTTTCTCAATAATTCTAGACAATGACTGATATATATGTGTTGAGGACATCAATGGCTCCACCCATACTGAAAATGTGACATTTTTACTGTACCAATTAAGAGATATTTCAAAGTAAATGTCTTACATTTGAATCGAGAAAATATCTAATAAATGAATATTTGAAGTGTAATAAAAAAGGTTTTCAAAATAATTCCAGACAA